CCAGTTCCACATGGATTTCAATGTGCAAGAGTTTGCATACTGTGTACTTTGAATTACTATTCCAAACTCTCCTTTCCCCACACCAGAAGTTTAATTACCCCAACCTGTTCAATCTCTTGCTGATCATAGCCTCCAAAACCCAAAGACATGAGAAATTTCACAAGTATGGAAACAAAATGGTAACCTGGCCCTTAGAAATCACTTGTAGGAAACTGATGTCAAACATACGGCCTGATATAACGGACTCTCAAGTCTTGAATTTCTATCCTCAGCTATCACTAAAAAAAGTTAAAAAGTCTAAAACAGCACAAATGCGAAACCTTTTATTTCCCAAAGAATCCTTAAGTGAAAATTATTTGATTTAACATATATCAATACTTAATAATTTTGAGCATACTTTCTATAAAGCTTTAAGGGAATCATAGTTAAACTTAGTTCAAGATTTTTTTAAAAATTTCAAATGCGATTTGATCAATTAGCTATTCTTTGAAGTCATTTAACAATAAATATTAAAAGTCTACACATACAGTATTCAATACACACAGCACCAAAGCCTAATTTTCTTCTCCCATCCACCTCCACCATACAACAGAAAAAAACCTCTCTGTAGAAAATATTAGGATAAATTTGTGCCAAATTTACCACCTAAAGACAAAATGGTGAAAACCACAGAAATCTAAACTGATTGTAAGTTTCAGTTATTTTCTGTACATATTTTAAATGCTTTTACATACAAGTATATATGTCTATATGTAAAATGAAATCTGACATGAATGTGCACACACACACAACTTCTTTTTTATACATAACAACCAAGTTTCATTTGTTGCTGTTTTTTTAAAATACATGTTCACACAAAACCAATTTAGAAACCTACAAGAGGGGCATATAATCACTACTACAAATACAGTCTAGCCTGATTTCAGGTACACCAAGTGACAACACTTCTCTTAGGAAGCACCGTCAATCTTGGAGCTTTTGTAATCAAGGCATCTGCTAGAGTTTAGGCAGTACCTTTATTTTCCTCAAATTTTATCCAACAATGATGTACGTTAACATATTATTTTCTTGCTTAGCCTTGGCAATTTCACCTTTTGAATATCTGCAGATGTTTATGTCCCCATTCCCATCTCCAGCTGTGATCCAGCCAAGTTGTAAGTTTCACTCTTTCAACCTTTCCTATAATTTAATTTTTCCATCCCTCTACCCCTTAATTAACTCGTGGTTCACATTGTTGGATGTTCATATTTTAAACAAAAGTCAGGCATCAATATATTTTAAAACTGCACTAAATATAAATTACATTACAAAATAAAACTTTATGAGCTTCTGAAAATGGAAAAAAGAATGGTATTGATTACAGAAGAGCTCTCACTTCCTCTAAACTCTCTATCTCCCTCTCACACACACACATATACACACACACTTTAAAGGAAAACAAGAAACATGAGTTTAATTAAACACCACTAGTCTGAATTTCAAATAACTGAATATACTGATGACCATGCTTCATTGAATGCCAGCAGTCTATTTCAATTAACTGGGATTGGTATTAATGTCATAGAAGTTAGATTTGAACCAAAGAAACAAACACACACACACACACATATATATATACACACACAGACGTGTGCGATAGTTATAAATAGTATAACATTAAAGTATTTACCACTATATAAAATTGGTACCAGCAAAAAGAAAGAAGGCTTCTATTTAAGGCCATCATTAAACCCAGATACCTCTTTTAAGTGTATCAGGATGCTTGCTGGTACTTGCACAGAATCACAGAATCATTCAGGTTTGAGATCATTGAGCCCAACCATCAACTCTACTCTACCAAGTACACCCCTAGCCCATATCGCCAAGCATCACTTTTAAACGACCTTTAAACACATTAAGGGATGGCGACTCAACCACCTCCCTGGGCAGCTTATTCCAACATCTGACAACCCCTTCAGCGAAAAAATTTTTCCTAATGTCAAGCCTATACCTACCCTGGTGCAGCTTGAGTCTGTTCCCTCTTGTTCTATCATTAATTACTTGTGAGAAGAGACCCACACCTACCTGTCTACAATGTCCTCTCGGGTAGTTGCAGAAAGCGATAAGATCTCCCCTCAGCCTCCTTTTCTCCAGGCTAAACAACCCCAGGTCCCTCAGCTGCTCTTCATACGACTTATTCTCTAGGCCTTTCATCATCTTTGTGCCCTCCTCTGCAGCACCTCAATGTCTTTCTTGTACTGAGGTGCCCAAATCTGAACAGAGTACTCAAGGTGTGGCCTCACCAGTGCCGAGTACAGGGGCACGATCACCTCCCTACTCCTGCTGGCCACACTATTTCTGATGCAGGCCAGGATGCTGTTGGCCTCCTTGGCCACCTAGGCACACTGCTGGCTCACGTTCAGCCACTTGTCAATCAGTACACCCAGGTCCTTTCCCGCCGGGCAGCTCCCCAGCCACTCATCCCCAAGCCTGTAGCGCTGCGTGGGGTTGTTGTGACCCAAGTGCAGGACCCAACACTTGGCCTTGTTGAAGCTCCTACAGTTGGCCTCGGCCCACTGATCCAACCTGTCCAGGTCCCTCTGTAGAGCCTCCCTACCCCCAAATCCAGCTGACTTTGTGAGGAACAGTTTTAAAAGATTAAATAAAGGTGTCCTCAACTTTTCCACAAACAATCTCTAATATTGGACTTATACTCACTAACTATTCTGGTCCCCAATACTGCAATATTTAAATGTATTTGCTTTACATAGGTAAGCATTTATTAAACTAAAATCAACATGGTGTTCCTTGAGCAGGAAGATCTTCTGACACTTCTGCATTTAGCAGAACTTTCCTTTGCCTAAGTACTAAAAAGGACACTTGCTATTACTAACATTGAACTTAAGGTGAACATCTACACAAATTTTCAACAGCGCAAGATAGGCTTAAATATATGGGAAATTAGAAAGTTATAACACTTCAAAAGCAGCACAGGATATTTCTGATGCTCTTCAGCCTCTGTCAAATTTTAGTTCTACTCCCCATTACCTTGCTCCCCCAGGTAGTTCTGTAAAGGACTCTAACTCTGCAGTACTCTTGGGATACAGTTTACATTACCTAAACCTGAACTCTGCAGATTTTTTTCATTTCTGCCTGTACTGAACGTTGATAACTCTGACCATGAGGCAGTGGTCCAAACCACAAGTTTTGCATCCTGACATAAGCATTTACAAAGAAGTGTTACAAGTAGTTTTTCTGTTTGAGACTGTTCAGACAACTAGGAAAAAAAAATATATGAAATGCAGTCCTTTCAACTGTTTTTATGTGGAAGTTGCAAAGTAAAAGCCACTCCCACATAACTTCACCTTAAGGTTTTTGAGTTCTACAATATTCACTCAGTATTGTGTAGCAATACAATTATCTTTCCGACATCTCTTCTGGACAAGTTAAAAACATCCCAGCTTACATCCTGAAATCTTACATTGCAGTGTGAGCTATCTTCCTAGTTATCTTGTGGGTTGTTTTTTGTGCTGTGTTTTTTTTTTTTCTTTCTAATTTTTACTATTTCTTCAGTCCTGTTAGATTTAGTAGAACTGTTGCAAACTTGTTTTTACAATTGGTGTCTCCAGTGCTCAGCATGCCAACTGATAGAACTGCTCTGAGCGATACCTGGCTGACAGATATCAAACGAACAAAACATTTTTGTGTATCCATGATCCCAAGACTCCCAAAGAAGAGAAGAGAATCTATCCTAATTCTTACATTACTTTCACAATTTCTGAATAAATGTTTTCCAAGACACTTTTTCTAATAATTTGGTTTTCCCTTTCCCCTTCCTTTTGAGAGGAAAAGAGTGATGAAGAACAAATTCACTTAAAATAGTAATTAAATATTTTGCAGGGAAAAATGCTGTTTGTAGCATTTTTGTATCCAAGGGACCCTCTGACGTTAAAGGACTCTCTAATTATCTTAGTCCTTCACATAAGGCTGCCAGTCAGAGGCATTCTGTGTTTAACACAGTATTAGGCTTATATCAGCACATCTTTACAGGAGGACAGGTCCCTTACTACATAACAAATACAGCACATCCTTTCAGTGCAATACTAAACCTTTTAAACAGGATAAAAATTCACATGGTAGTTAATTATGTAAAAAGACCTATAAGCAACCAACAGAGATTAATCCATGGATTTAAAGACAGTACCAACATGTGTGTGTGTGTATATATATATATATATATATATGTCAATAAATTATACACATGTAGAATGCAGCCTGGAAATAATGTTAATATTTTAATTCAACATTCATAGGAATATTTTATTTGGAATGTGTAAACTAATTACAGAGAAAGACAGCAACTTTGAAATATTTATAAAAGTAGTAAATACCTGAAGTACTCACAGCAGTGGAGTAAGGGGTATGAGCTCCTGTATTTTCAGCCCAGCAGCCACAACCATAAAGTGCTGCCTAAGGAAAGAAGTGCATCTGTCAGTATATAAGGTTTTTTGGTTTGTCTGTCCCCTTCCCTTAAAACAAAACGAAACATAACACTAAAAAACCCCAAACCAAGAAAAAAAAAAAAAAAAGAAACTCAAGAAAAATCCAAGTATTAATACAAAAGATAAATAAGAAAATTGCAACAGTCACAATTGTAATTCCAATCCATTTTGCTACATCTTCTTTACTATTCTTCAGAACTGATTATCATAGATGCATGGCATTCAAACCTAACTTTACAGAAAATGAGGGTACAGACATCAAAAGACAAAATAATTCCAGCTGTTCCCTGTTTATATAAAGTCCCTTTCACCTTGCTATTCCAAAAGAAAATTTTACGTACAACTCAAAAGAGAACTGCTTTTAGGAGAGTGGCAAAAGCCAACCAAAAATACAGCTGTATGGCAACAGAGTATGACATTTCTGATGCACCTCAAAATTCCCTTACCTAGTAACAATGAGGAATGCCTATACTTGATGTGTTCTTTTAATACCTTTGTCACTTCTACCAATTCACATGATCATTTAAAAATCGTTAGCTTCTCTAAATATTGATGAAAATCTTATTTAAAAACACTCTAAGCATTTAAGAGATATTTGTGGTATTAAGGACGTATTTAAGCCCAAGAAATTAACTTATTAACAGCTCTGGCAAAAGGTAACTAACTACAGAACGACTTTTTACCTACCAACGCTTTTTAACACTGATGGAGGACACTAAAAACAAAACTTGCATTCCAATGCAGTGATAATGCTTTCAGAGTTTAATGGGAAGTAAGGAAGAACATCAGTTTGCTATCACAGCTCTTGCTCAGTGTCACAATTGCAGAACAATTATTCCCAACTGAAAACGTATAATCACCTGACCAACTCTTCCAGGATGCTTTAGTGCTAAACCTCCACTGGAGACAGCAGCAGCAACATTTCCTTCTTGGTCAACAACAACTGCACCAACTGTATCCAATGTTCCTGAGTCATTCTCCTGCAGGACACACAAACAGAAACATCTACTAAAAATAGTATATTAAAGTCAGATTACACTTCTTAGCAGTGTGCAAACTAACGTGCACAAAACCAAGTGACAGGCCGATCAACAGAACGGTTTTGCTATTCATGCATATTGTACCAATTGTGCTGCCATAAATCTTCCCAAAATGCTCTTTTGTCTCAGACAGGACCTGAAGAAAACCTCTCTGGAAACAAGAAGGTAATAAATATCTCAGAACTCATCCGATGCTTAGATTACCTGCCTTTACTCACAAAACTGCCAAAAATGCTGTTTTCTTAGTGGTGGGCACTTGTGCACTAAGAAATGATTCAGCAGCTCATTTCAAAGATGGCATATCAAAAGGCCTTTCCAAAAGCTTCAAGATGGCCTTTTCAGAGACTCCAATCTTTAAAGCTACGTGTGATTTAAAAAAAAAAAAAAAAAAAAAAAAAAAAAAGTCCCCAAGAAGCAGCTTACCACATAAAGAGGAAATTCTGATATTCTGAGTGAGACAATAAATAGAAGCCTTGAGAAGCAACCTCCCCCAGGACAGATGCTTTCTCCCAGACTTGTTCTCGGTTCAGCTTTAGTGGCTTCCCAGTTGAAACAGATTACCCTTTGTTCCCTCTGGGTCACTAGAAAATCATCCTTTTTTCCATTGCTTCTGAGGCAAATTTGCTCCCCTAAGAGCAGGGGCGTTTCAGCATTCATTCCTGATCAAGCTCTCTGCCTACTGTCTCACAAACACTTCAGCTGTCTCACCTTGGATCTTTCTGTCCTTCCCTCCTTCCTTCACTTAATTCAGTCACTCTAAGAGAAAGAGCAGTCTTCCTCTCTCTGCCTAGACTTGCCCTAGATTCCCTTCTCTGCAGAAGCCAGGCGAAGGCACTCTGATTTCATGCCCAATCATATACTTTTGATGGGACACAGCATGCAGCATACATAAAATAAAATGAAAAAACAAAACCGATGCATCATCCATCACATACTCCAAAGATGAACACTGCTGTTTGCACAAGCCCTCAAGCCTTTAGCTGATCAGTCTTCCCTGTATAAAAACTTACCTGTGTCAAAAAAATCCTACATAAAACTTACCCAAGGAAATAATCCCAAAGGACATTAAGCTATTCATATAAATGCATTTTTTCTGGACTAGGATCCAGAGGTAGGATGAAAAAAACCAATAAAACTACACCCAAATATCCAACTTCAAGTTATCAAGTTCCCATCACCTATTAAAATTTCCTTGGGCATACAATGTCACTCGTTAAGCAGAATTCTTTAGGAGACTCATGCTGATGATACTCTGGCCACACTTAAGAGGTAACACTTGAGTTAATACTGAGCCAGTCTTAAAAGGAAAAACACACAATGCAGCACTAATGTTCTACAGTATTTTTCAAGCAGCAGGAACTCCTAAGCAGGAGCGTCATCCTTTGTTGTTACCCAGAGGAACAGAAAGTTTCTTATCTTCACCTACACCAAGATCTTTCTGAGCAAGTTCTATACTCAGAAGCTGACAGTAACCATAGCCAATATTAAAAGAAACAGATGGATGGCCTAACAGTAAAGCACAACTGCTTAGAAAAGAGAGGTGAAAAATCACAGATCTAGGGTCTCAACTGGCATTGGAAGGAAGAGTAAGTGGAAAAGCAGAGGAAGGTAAAAACCAGGATCAGGGAAGGCAGGAAAAGGAGAGGCAAAAGGAATTCTGAGGACTGGAGCAAAGGGGATAAGAAAAGAACAAGTTCCCTTCCGAGTTGTAAAGATAAAAGAAAATTATTGAACCCTTCCTTAACATCTCATAGGCAAATGTATTTCACATCTCCCAGAACTGCCAGCCACAACCTAATTCAGGTACGATTAACCCAGTTAGAACAACACTAGTCAGTGGACTGAGAAAAGATCTTAAGCAGCAGAGCAGACTGCTCACTGGAGGTGCAGACTCCCATCCTTGGAGGTTTTCAAGATCAGACTGGACAAAGCTCTTCCCAACATGAATTTTCCTATGATCCTATGATTTTACATAGAGAAGAACTACTAATATGATGCAGGTTTTGTTGTCCATGCCTTGCTCCCTTTTATCAAAGGAAATTACACCCACAACAAAAAACTTGATTAATAGACAACTACAGATATGAAAATCAATCCCATCAAAGTTAGGAAATGCCAGAATTAAGGCCACCTGTGTAATCTTAAGTCATATTAAATCAAACACTTGGGGCTCCCATAATGAACAGAAATACATTTTAGAGGGATGAGGCTCAGTATGGATCAGTATGTTTTCCGTATTCAGCTGACAGCAAAGAAAAAACGCTTGCAGCCTTCACAGCATCTGTAAAATTATTTGCTCAATCTGCCATCCACCTTTCACTTTAGTTCTCACATGCATAAAATATTTGCCTTCAGTAGCTATATTATTAATCTCTTTTTTAAAATATATTTTAATCAAAAAGCACAAGCATTTACAAGTATATGTTGCAAGGAAAGTTTCTTCACCATTATTTCCTTGAAAATAAGATCTATTTCATATTAGCATTTGCTGTCAATTAGGTAGTATAGTTTGCTTGCTTTGGCTTATTTTATTTTCAGATGGGGCTACTTATGAGGCTGGAAACCTCTTCTAAGGGAAGCATTTTATTTAACCTGGTCCACACAACATTCTGAAGGAAATCTGTATCACTGAAGCAAAGGAATTCCCTATTTTCCTTCTCAGTAATGTAAACTCAGGGGGGTTTTGTGATCAGAAAAAGAATCACTGCTAATGCCATATTTATCTTTACTCAACAAACTGAAAGCCAGTGAGGATCAGTTCTATTCCATATCCAATGGGAAAAACACATTGGCAGATGTTACAGACAAATCTTCTATTATGTCCGCTGTTGGCCTCTAGTATGTCCGCTGTTGGCCCTTTATAGATCAAGTGGGAACACAGAGGAGCACAACAGTGGATAGCGTTATCTAGAAAATGCAACCATTAATGTATTTTGGTCTTCTAAAATCTCAGATTCTTCATGGGAGTGCTTCTGCTGATTATGGCAGCATTTAACAAGGTAAGAGGCAATATTTTAACCAACATTTTATTTATTAAAGTATTTTGAAGAAATACTTATAAATCCATTTAAGTCAAGGGAAAATGTCACTATCTGGGGACCAGTTAACACACACCAATATCCAGAAACATTTTTCTCTAGGGCAACTGACAGCATAGCATGACGTACATGATTGGTGCAATATTCGTGTTTGAAGAAGGGCAGTTATGAGCTAATAATACACAAAGCTCGATAAACAACCCTAGCCTTTCCAGTTTAATAGCTCTTAGGTGTGTAAACAGGACATTTTGTCTGGCCTCCATGTTCAAGATGAGGGAATTATTTCATACTGTATTCCACTGAAGAGTTCTGTTGTTTCGTTGTTGTTGTTTTTATACTGGAACGGATGAAAAGTATTTAAGTTTCTTTTCCCATATTAAATGGAAGTATACTTTTGGAGTCTAAAAAGTATTATTATCAAAGATCATTTCAGCATGAATGTGGGACAGAAAATTTCATTCTTTAAGGAAAAGGAAATGCATAAAATTCCAATTCCTGTTCAAACTGCAAAAATAATAAAAAAAAAAAGACAGAAACTAGGATTGCCATAGCTGACTTCTACACTCACAACTACCTTCACACAGCCATAAAAAATTTGGCTTGAGGAAAAAGCTGTGATTAAAATTCACCATATAAAATGGGAATGATGCATAGTGCTACGCATTGATTGTTGCTCACCTGAAGAGTTCAAGCTGGAACTGCCTAAAAGTTCACATAGTATGTTCAAGATGATCAATGACAAAAATTATAATGCACAAAATACTTCAAAGAAAAGCATGTATTTCTGTGCAACAGACATATCTTTTTCTTTTCTAAATGTTCAGTGTTACTGTCTCAATACAGTAGCTGAAGAATATGAAACTGCTGATTACATACATATAATTCAAACTGTTGTGCAGATAGACTTGATTTGACTACACAAGTTAAACTAGATAAAAACCAAACCAGTTTTCATAAACCTCAAACTAAAGAATGTTATTTATGGAGTTAAATAACTAGCCTGTAAAAAAGTAACCTATAAACACTAACCTATAAAAAAAATTCATGTGCACTGGAAATTCTTAGTGCCACTTACTCAAATGAAGGAGAGGACAACTCCTCTTACAAGTAAGTTCAGCATAATTGTAAAACAAAAGTTTGTAATAGCAGAAGACAAATTAAAATATGGCATTTAGCCACATCTAGCTATTTTCAGAAACAATTTTCTCATAAAAAACAGGTTAACAGTACGAAGACAAACATTTACTTCTGATGTTTACTGGTGCTTGAGGTAAGAACTTCAGAATGGCATCTGGCTGAATTAACACACCATAGCCAGTCCCCCTATGAATACGTTTAGTTAATTCACACAGAGAAAGAAATTATTTCTTCAATATTAAAAAAAATAAAGTCTCTATTTCCACACCTTCAAAATTTAATGAAGTTGCTAAAGGATCTTCCTGTGTGCCATCGCATAACCCTCTACAAATCCTACACTGGGTAAGCAATGAGAATACAGCAAAGAGAACATTCCACTTGCTCGGAAAATAAGAGTCCTTTAGTAAGTCACACTGCCTAGTTTTTCCATACAATCTTTATTAAATTCAAGCAGCCTCTCATTATTTCTGAGCTTGGTATAATTTAACTTTTATTCAAAATTAGTTTTTGAAACTGTGTTTATTTTTATCTAGTGAAATTTATCAGCAGCTAAAACTTTCAGGTAATTTCTGCCTTTTTTGGTCTGCAACACTATCTCTTCACAGGCCTTTTAGTTATGATTTCAACTTCAACTTTGTTAACATCCTTTCTACCTTGCTCTTCTCCCAATTTCTAAAATTTCATAGACCAAAAAGGACCAGAATTTATAACAGCTGTGCAGTACTGACAACAGAGGCACATAAGCTAAGTTATAGCACAGGGCTGAAGCAGG